GGGAAGATGGAGTTGCGTGAAAATTAGGAAGATTTTTTCATTGCCGTTTTAATCTGGCCTACAAAAGCGGGCTAAAACAAAAATACTACATACATGTAATTAGGGATCCCAGGCCAATATATTTAAAATGAATCTTGGAGAATTTGATTGAGTTTACTAATAAAAGTTACTATAAAATTTATTTCAGGAATATATGCGATTACATCACATAGTACATCTTTTTTCTATATTAAAAAGTATAAAACTTTAAATTTGCGGAAAAAGGGATTCCATGTAGTGGAGGACAGAATAGAAATAAATATAATTTTTATTTTTATTTATTTTTTTCAATTTTTCATGGCGGCTCGTACGCTAACACACTTATAATAAAATTTTAATTTTACTTTGAAATCCACAATTTCGGAATTGGAGGGTTCGCTAAACAAGAAGTAGTATGTGGGTTTTGATAAGGAGTTCCGCATAGTCCCAAGCCGAACACCCCCCCCCCCCCTTGAAATTTCTAAATACCAGTGCAACAAACTTTTTGAGACAGCTGACAAAGCAGAGTCGGATCTGAAGAGGAGGAAGGTAGTAGGAAGTTTCAACGTAATAAAATGTCAATAAGTAAAAAGTAGGGGAAGTTTATAATAACCATTAAACAAGATTGGTCATGAGGCTGCCAGACTGCTTCCGCCATGTTAAATTGACATTATTATTTTAACAATACATTGTGTTATCAATAAATAATGGGACTACTGTAAAACCTCTGAAAAACTCAAATTGAAATCCTCTCTTAGTTTTGCTAAAGTAGCCTTGAAACAAAGCAGCACTCCTTATGGCTTATATCCAAGGCCTTCGATTATTCAACAAATATTAAAGGCTTCACATAAATTGACAAATATAGGCCTAAACCTCTATTATATGTTTTTTACAAAGTGGAAAAAGAAAGGATTTGAACAGTAAAAATAAACAAATAGTAATAATAAATAATTAATGTGAAAGTTAAGCAAGATGGAACAAAAAAAAACAAAAAATTAATTAAATGATGCTGTTTAAACAGGGAGTTGTTATTTATTTATATATGTATAGAATGGAAAAAGAAAGAATCAGGAAAAGATGAGCTGTGATTGAAAAGGAAAAGAAAAACGTAACATTACTATATCTAATTTACAATGCGTGACGTCCTTCTAAACCTGCCCACTTACGGTCATTACTGTTTTGAGAGGGAGTAGACTGGCTTGGTCCCAGCCCTAAACTTGCCTTAATCAGTGATTTTGGCACCAATGACATCCCATAGTATACTTTTTCTCTACATAAACAGACGCTGGTGGCGCTCTCCGAAGTCGGAGAGAGCTGAAAACTGACATGGCGATTCTGGTTGGGGTTCCAAAACGTAATTAGCGTTGGGCTATAGGCCTCATTCTGTATTACTTATACTTAGGATATTATAGCCAACCTAGGTATAGGGCCTAGGCCTGGTTATTTATATAATTCTTCATACTCGCTTCTCTGTTAGTTAGCCAGGCCTAGCCTACACCGGGTAAAGCGTCAACAAGAAGGTGGTTAGTTAGTAGGCCTCTTCCTCTAGGTCTAGGATCGGAGGCCTAGCCTGGCCCTAGGCTAGTAAAGTAGCCAGAAGACCCAAACTAGTGGCAGGGGGGGGGGGGGTGGGGGGGGGGGGGGGGGGGGGGTCCTCTCCTTCCAGAACGAGATTAAAAAAAAAAATTGGGACTTCTAGATGGCGCCGCCACTGGGGCTAGGTGTGGTGCCAGCACTGTTGTATTGTTGGACAGTCCATCCCTAGGTAGCTGCATCTTACGTCATGCTGTATATATATATATATGCGGCAACACTTCCAGAATGACATATTGTATGGTAATTAAAATTTTAAAATGCAGACAAAATGAGGCTAAACAATTTATGTCATAAAAGTTAAAAAGCGCAAAAGAAAAAAAAAAAACACTTTAAAGAATAACAACAAAAACTAGATTTGAACTCGTCACTGAGGACGAGTTAGGTGATCCGCCGCACTTTGACCCTCACGAAGCACGCACGTTTCTGATTGAAAAGTATTATATGCTAAAACATGCTCTATTTAAAGCATTTTCAAAAGGAATTTTAAAGGAGAAGAGTAATTTTGAGCATTTTAAGGACTTACGAATGTGTAAATATACGTCTTAACATCCGTGTGCACGGTAGTATTAATACAGTGTCAGAAACCCAACACATGTAACCGAAACGTAATTTCCAGCTTCAGTACGTGCTGTTAGCGTGGAAATGAGCGTACGGATCGTCAAATTTGGAAAGTTTTGGAATATTCAAAATAACTTGAAACGTGCTTTAAAATATCTGAAAAGTGATATTAACAATTTTAAAATTTTAACGCACAAGTACGAATACCTTATACGACGTGCCTGACGACGGAAATGGCACATGAATTTAAACC